TCCAACTCTCAAAAGCCAACTTTCAAAATCTTAGTACACTACCCTACAATGTAATGTAGCCAACTGTCTTACTGAAACGTGTTTGGTGTCTTGCTTCCAATGTTGTTTACCAACCTTCATGTAACGTCTGCCATCATACATGCATCGATGAAACCGGAAGAACCCTACACGCAAGGATAGGAGAGCACATTAATTTCCCTAAAAACTAAATCATGAAAGAAACGCAGTTGCAGGCTGTTTTTAACAAATCAAAGACAAATAACTCTTGGCACGAATCCACCATTCTCCGTACATATCCTTACCAAAGCCCCCAAGTATACTGACAGAAAATTTAATGAAACTCTTCTCATCAAACAACTACGACCACGGATGAACAAGGACAAAGTATGGCACCTATAATTATAATTATTTTATTTTATCTTAACCTACCCCCAGTGGCTCAGTGGTAAGTCTCTGGACTTATGACATTTAAAATCGGGTCTCGATTTCCGTGGTGGGCACAACACAAATAGCCTATAGTGTAGCTCTGTGTTTAACAACAAACAAGTAAACATCTTAACATTTGTTATTTCAATGTATAATTTAGATAAAAGTTTTATTGATTACAGATAGCAATATATATTTTTTGAACAATATAATTCTTTCAACAATAAGCTTTAATACTTAATATGGCATACGTACGTTGCAGAAACCCACGATATAAATTAGATTATAATTTACTATTTAAACCAAATGAAGCCTTGTACTATCAATTACAGTTAGTGTTCTAGAGGAACTCTCCTGAAAACAAACTGTAAAACGAAACTTCGAGTGTCCAATTAAAGATAAAGAAACAAACTTTGTGTTATAAGGTCGTACTGTATATTATTAGTATTAAATGTTATACTGTTCTAGATAGGAGTCTTCCGGTGGTACAGCGATATGTTTACGGACTAACAACGCTAAAATCTGGGGTTAGATTCCTCGCGGTGGCCACAGCAGATAGCCCAACGCGGCTTTGATCTAAAAACAAACACAATCTAGATAGAACCGCGTCACTTATCGTCAACTATGGTAAGTTGCAGCTATATTATTTAAGCTGCTCGCCACGCTAGATAAGCTCCAGCTATATTATTAAAGCTGCTCGCCAGGCTATATACTGTCCTTTTATGTAACGGTTTCTATCCACAAAACCGGAAATTCTCAAAAATTATTTTCGTCTTCAAACCTAACAAACCTATAATTAGTATCACTTCTTATTAACCCATTAGTTCAACAACTATATTCAGTAAAACATCTGAACGCATTATAATTCCACAATTCCACCGTTTCCTCCCCGACAGAAGTTTGGTTTTAAGTACACAAGCTAGTTCCTGACCTGGACTCTCCACCCATGATTAGTTTCCTAAAATTTTTGATATCATAGCTAACTATTTTAACGTGTGAAAATCAGCACGCTTCCTCCTTCTTGAGGTTTAAAAAATATTTGATGCTTTATGACATCATGATTTAATATTTAAACTTCGAATCTTAGACTTATCAATTACCTACGTAAGAATTGTTTCTTGTTTTTCTAACAAGTCTTGATATGGCCTGGTGGTTAGGGCTTTCGCAATTTGCACGTCGCGCCAAACGTGGTCATTCTTTCAACCTTGAGGGCATTATACTGTGATGATCAATCCCACTATACCTTGGTAAAGAATAGCCCTTTAGTTGGCGGTTGATGCTGCTGGCCGGTTGCCTTCTCTGTGGCCATCAGTTCAAAATTAGGGATGGCCTTAATAACTTTGTCATAAAGAAAATAAAATCAACATCTTTTCTCACAAGCTATCAAGCTGTCATACCTATTAGAAATTACCTCCCCAAACCATCCACCCTCTCTGCTGGTGACTTTCAGGGATCAGTCCAGTCCTGATACCTTCGATCTACATATGCTTCGATATACATATCCTATCCACATCTTCTAATATGCTGATGATATTTTTTCTGATTACTACATACCAAACTATAGCCATGCTGAATAGGAAACTCCGAGAAGCTGTTGATCAGTTTGTCAAATGGTGCAATAAATGGTGTCTCTCTCGTAACAAACAACACCGAAGTAATCCCTTTTGACGTAGGTTAAAGGAAGCTAAAATCCTATGAAGATCCAAATTGCTTTAATGACCATATTGCTTATGTAAAACTTCTGACACTGTCAAATATATCATGGTCATCTTTGACAAACATCTCTCATGAAAGGCCCACATCACCAAAAGCAGCATTTAAGTTCAATAGAGAAACAACCTATTATGCTGCCTCATTGGAACCATATGGGTATTGAATACACCTCTTTTCATTTACACCTACAAAACCTTTGTCAGACCTTGCATCACTTACGGCCACACAGCTCGTATCTTTTGGCCTATGAAATTTTCTTCCTAAGTCCGAACAGTGAGTTATGTGATCGCATTACTTTTCCACCTATTTTTCCAAACCTTCTTGAACTTTGAAGTAACTATATCCGTCGCATTTTCTTAAATAATAATGTCAACCTTAGTGATTTACTAAACATAAACGCAAATAAACCCAGAAATATTTATTCCACTTCTGGAGTAGGCCTTAAAGTTGTATCAGATGTCTTTGGCTGAAAATTATCCCAATTATAATCCTGTTCCTGTGACTGACTTACCGCTTCATACGTACACACGATAAATTGAGATTCGAACTTACATCTAATTTGTGATGCTTTTGCCTCCACCATCCTCCATTTTCACAAAGTTTTGACTTGGCAATGTATATGTTCTCACATTGAATAAATATATTAAATGCAACCCAGCTGTTTTTGCACTTCTATCCACAAGTTTTGTACAAATCTCATGACTGAACAGAAGGAATAACTTTCTGTTGGCCATTTTGCTCCTTTCGAAGCTAGAATGAAATGACGCAGGAAAATAATTTCCCTAAAAGAGGGGAAAACACTGCCATCTACATCATTCTCATATAGTTATATAAAGAACAATAAGTGATCATGAAAAAAAGATATAGATTTAGAATATTCTAATAAAGAAAAGAAACATTGTTATCTAATTTACTTTGTTTTCGTGTACTGCCTACCGGAACGCGCTTGCGCGTAAACCTAGACACTGGAACTTGTTACAACAATGACAAAGCGACGGCCGTTGATCAAGATCGATAAGCCATGTTTTATTGAAATGTAATACAGTGCTACTCTACTGTTTCTTCACCGCTGACGCTATAAATTTTGGTGACTAATTTTTGTTTCAATGGCCCGCATGGCCAGGTGGTTAGGGGACTCGACTCACAATCTGAGGGTCGCGGGCTCGA